GATGGAAGTTAAGACATGTTGGGTTAAAAGATCGGCTAATTCCCTAGCTGACGGTTTAGCTAAACTAGGGGTAGAAAGGGATTCATTTTTTGGGCTAAGATGTAACTTTAGTGTATTCTTTTCTCTTTTTCTTCTATTTTCTTTCTTTTATGAGGCTCTTAGTGTTTCTTGGAAGATAAGTGTGTTTTTCTTCCTCCTGTAAATTTTCTACTGATGATTAATGGAAGTGCTATTGATCAAAAAAAAAAAAAGATAGTGTCTCTTTATCTCAAGCCTACTCTCTAGTACATAGTGAGGAAAGTAAAAGGAAAGTTATGTTACAAATTCCATCTATGGAATTGGCTTTAGCAACTATAAAACTGAAGATTGGAGGTGATAAGGAGAGGGATGCAAAGACGGATGAAAAGAGGAATGTGTTTTGTGACTACTGTAAGAAGCCAAAACATACYAAGGACACTTGTTGGAAGCTTTATCCTCAACTAATTCCAAAAAGACTTAGGAACAAGAAGGGAAATGCTAATGCAGGTATAACCAATAGAGCTTCATCCACAGTTATAACCACAGGAGTTCCATCCACTCCCAACACTAGATCCAGTTCTCTTGATGCATTGGCTGCTATTAGGGCTGCTTTATCTCAGCCGGAGAGTGAAGTTGACTTCTCTGGATAGTCTCATTCTACTCCAACTTCTACTTTTGCTCAATCAAGTACAAGGGCCACTGCCTGTCGTGCCTCTACCCCAAGTAACACTAGCTATTTTTTGATTATTGATTCAGGTGCATCTGATTGACCAGTTTATCTTCATTATTTCATACCTATTGCTTGTCTTCTGGTATAGACAAAGTGTCTATTACTGATGGCTTTGATGCTATTTCCTTATCCTTGGTTCTGCATGTTTCTAAACTAAGTACTTATCTGCTTTCTGTCAGTAGTATCAATAAACATAAGAACTGTTCAGTGACCTTTTTCCTTGATCATTGTGTTTTCCCGGATCTGGCTACAAGAAAGGTGATTGGGACTGGCCGTGAAACGAATGGGATCTATTTGCTTGAACATCCACTTGGGAAGAGTTAGGAAGCTGGGAAGTCTTTTGTGTCATAGTTTGTGAGTCAGATTATGCTTTGGCATAATCGATTGGGTCATCTATCTTTTAGGTCTTTAACGAGTGTTTTTCCTAATTTGTTTGAGTCAATCCAAGTGTCTACTTTTAAGTGTGAGAGTTGTGAGTTGGCAAAGCATTGTAGATCAACTTATTCACAAAGTAATAAAAGAAGTTCTTTTCCTTTTGAAATTGTGCATACTGATATTTGGAGGCCCTATCATATTCCTGCTACGGGTGGGTGCAAATACTTTCTATTGTTTGTTGATGACCACTCGGTTTTCATGGGCTTACCTCATGCGCTCTTGGGATGAGGTTCCCACTTTAACTCGCAATTTTCATCTAATGATGTTGACTCATTTTGGGGTTAAAATAAAAAAATCTCAGATCTGATAATGCCAAAGAATATTTTGCAAAACCCTATTTTCTTATCTGCTTGAATATTGAACGATTCATCAGAGCACTTGTCCTCATACACCTCAGCAGAATGGTGTTGCTGAGAGGAAAAATAGGCACATCCTTGAAGTTGTAAGAAGCATCATGCTGAATACTAATGTTCCTATTCGTTTTTGGGGGGATGCCATTCTTGCTGTTGTTTATCTCATTAACAGGATTCCTTCACGAGTGTTGGACATGAAAGCTTCTTTTAACTTGTTGTATCCTGATAAAGAGCAGTTTTCTGTTTTTCCCAAAACCTTTGGTTGTACTTGTTTTATCCAAATCCTTGGACCTGCTCGTTCAAATTTTGATCCTAAGGCCGCTAAATGTATTTTCCTAGGGTATGCACAAAATCAAAAGGGGTATTGTTGTAATGACCCCTATCTCGAGAACCAGATCTGTATCTATGGATGTCACCTTCTTTGAAGATGTCCCCTATTACCATAGGGTTTCACCTCAGGGGGGAGTGGTGAGCAAGGTGTGTTTGCTCAAGATGTTCCTTTGCCTATTCCTGCAAGTGGAGGGGAGTGTATTGAGGGGAGTTGTCAAAAGTGTAAAGAATTGAGGGTGTTTCACAGAAGATAATGGCGGCAAGTTGGTTCTAGTAATGATTAGTCCAGGCCATTTCCTATCTCTTCTGCTACACCAAATTCAGGTATTGGCTCCTCCTTATCCACTCATACTACTGATGACATACCCTCTTCCACTACTGTGCCTCAGCCATCCTCAGATGACCTTGACCTCCCGATTGTAGTATGTAAGGGGAAGATTCGGTGCACCTCTTCCTCTAACCATTGTATCTCTCATTTCTTTTCTTATGATCACATTTCATCATCATATAAGTCATTTTTAGCCTCCATTGCTGCCATTCCCATTCTTAGAACAGTTCAAGAGGCTCTTGTTGTCCCTGAGTGGAAGGAAGCAATGAAGGTTGAGATGGATGCCCTTGTAAAGAATGATACTTGGGAACTGGTTGTTTAACCAAGTTTGACTGCTGGGTGTAGGTGGATATTCATAGTAAAATATAATGCTGATGGTACAATTGAAAGATATAAAGCTAGACTGGTGCCTAAGGGATACACGTTCAAAGTTATGGTATATGGTATTGATTACTTGGAGACCTTTGCACCAGTTGCAAAAATGAATACCATCAGGGTTTTACTGTCTCTTGCTGCTAACTTCTCTTGGCTTCTGTTTCAAATGGATGTTAAGAATTCATTTCTAAATGGTGACTTGTAGGAGGAGGTTTATATGGAGTTACCTCCTGGTTTTTATGATGCAGAGACTGGTAAGAAAGTTTGTAAGTTGAAGAAAGCTTTGTATGGTCTAAAACAATCTCCAAGGGCATGGTTTGATAGATTCAGACTTGCTTTGGAAAGATTTGGCTATGTTCAATTCAAATTTGACCACACTCTGTTCATTAAGAAGAAAGAATCTACTTGACTCTCCTAGTTATGTATGTGGATGACATTGTTGTGACTGGAAGTGATAATGATGAGATTAACTCTCTTAAGCAACTGCTTAATCGAGAATTTTAAGTAAAGGACCTGGGTGAGTTGAGGTATTTCCTTGGGATAGAAGTGGCAAGGTCCAAGCGTGGCATTTTTGTTTCCCAGAGGAAATATGTTCCTGATCTCTCGGAAGAGATAGGAAAATTGTGAGATAAGCCTACTGATACTCCCATTGATCAAAATCATAAGATTAATGCAGAAGATGGTGAGCCTCTAGAAGATAAAGGTATGTATCAACGTCTTGTAGGAAGACATCTCTACCTATGTCTGACTCGTTCCAACTTTTCTTATGTTGTCAGTGTTGTTACTTAGTACATGCACTCTCTCAAGACTTCACACCTTTTGTTGTTGAAAGAATTTTTGCCTACTTGAAGAGGTGTCTGGGCCGAGGTATACTTTTTAAAAATAATGGCCATATGAAGATTGAAGTATACACTAATGCAGATTGGGCAGGTTGTATTGATTATAGTACTTCAGGGTATTGTGCCTTTGTTGGAGGAAATTTAGTTTCATGGAGGAGCAAGAAACAAAATGTTGTTGCTCGGTCCAGTGCTGAAGTTGAATACATGTYTATGGTTAATGGTGTTGTTGAAATATTATGGCTGAAGTCTATCCTTACAGAATTGGGAATTGAGTTTGAAAGACCCTTGATGCTATATTGTGATAACCAGGCGACCATTAACATTGCTCACAACCCAATACAGCTTGATAGAACCAAACACATTGAAGTTGACAGGCATTTCATCCAAGAGAAAGTTGCCTATCAAGAAGTGTGCCGTTCTTATGTTGCCACTTATATGCACCTTGCTGATGTCTTCACCAAGGCAGTCAACAAAATCAAGCTTGTGTCAGATTTAAGCAAGTTGGGAATGATCAATATATTTTCCTAACTTCAGGAGGAGTGTAGAGAAAATGGTTGACCAGCTTGTGGTTACCACTTGTTCATATGTTTTTCCTTTGTTTATAGTGCTGTTAGAATTTTTTTTTCTGTTGTTTCTAGTGACAGGGGCATTCCTGTCATTGTACCACTTATTGTTGAATACCTAATTTTAAATATCACTTGGGGTTGCAGACTAAGCTGACTGAACCCTTCTTTCTCCTCTATTCTCTCTTCCTCCTCTTCTCTTCTCTTCTCTTCTCTTCATCTCTGGTTTCCTTTTGTTTTCTAAACAGGTCTGAACCTCCTTGGTTTCAGACAACTCATAGAACCCCTTGTTTTTCCAGCTCATCTTCTAGATTGGCCGAATTTGCCTTTCCTTCACCAATGACATTACTTTCTAAAAGTTAGAACTTTTTCCGATTGATATTTTCATTCCTTGCTCATGTAAATGCTTGTGGACTCATTGAGCTGTATTACCTTTTGTTTTTTTCCCAGGGTTTCCACCAAAGGTTGAGGGTTTTTTGCCCCTCAAATTTTCATTTCTTTTGGTATGGAAATGCTTGCACAACACTACCAAATTCAATTGTTATTGTTATTGAAAATGCCATTACCCAATGTTGGTCCCAGCTATCGGGGGTCTTGGGAGGGGTAGACTAGATACGTTAAAGTGGCTGCTTTCAGTCTCAAACCCATCTTCTCATGCTTGTCAGCCTGAGTTGATAAAAGAAAGATAAAAAATGCTTGTCAGCCTGAGATATTTTGCACAACAGCACTAAATTCTGTCATTGTTATTGTTCTTATTATCATTATTTTTATGCACTCTTCTCTCATAATGGAAAACTGATGTTCAGTTTTTTCTTATAAGCTTCAAGAACTGTTGGAGTACATGCCAGGACCTGACTTTCCAACTGGTGGATTAATCATGGGTAACATTGGGTATGTGAAAGTGTATTATCATTTCTATTTTCCAGGTTGTTATTGCTCTTCATGTTGTTTGTTACTCAATAACGAGACAATTCTATTAAAAGAAAGATGATGAAATGGTTACAAAATCATGGGACCAGCAATCATGGGCCAATGAAAGATAAGAGATAATATAGAAAAAAAGCAGGGAAAAAGAAGTACCAGTCCATCAGAAAATATTCCCCCGAAGAAGTCCACTCTTTAGTATTCTTTTGTTGTAAGCCTTGGTACCAAGTTGGAAACCTTTGGGATCCATTTCTTGAAAGAAATTCTACTTATAAGTGAAATATTTAGATTATCTAATGTATTACATCCAATTTCTACAATAGGACCTTGAGAATCTAATTTAGGACCACTATGAACCAAGGATAAATCCAGGAAGGTAACAATGGTCTAAGATGGATTTTGTGGGTCTTTAAGAATTAAAGGTAGGATTTGTTGGGGTTGTCATTGTTTTAGGCCAAATTGCTGAGATCTGATTCTCTATAGAATGGTAAAATATAGAAAATTTGAAAACAAAGTGTAAACATAGAATATTTAAGCAAACTTCGTGGAGGTGTTTAAGATGAAGGATTGTATGGGTTGATTTAATTTAAAGGCCTCTTTAGTAAGTTTCAATAGAAGGATGAAAAATTGCTAGAGTTCTGGAAAGTAGGGTTTTAGATGCAGTTTTGGGATGAAATTTTGTATGAAAGCTGATAAAGATTTATGTTAAATGGCATGAGACTAGGGGTGTTTATGTCATTATATTTTATTTTTTGTGTATAGATCTGTTCCAGCTTGTGTAACGGTTGAATGTGAAAGAATGGTAGGATCCATCTAATGGACGCCATAAAGGTTGCGGAATGGGTGGGGCGAATTTCAAAAATTTCCTACCTTCTCCCAACTGGGAATCATATTCCCTGAATCTAGAATACAATATTCAAGGATCTACTTGAACCCTAATCAAACCAGATCTGTACCAAAAGATAAATGGGAGGATTATACCTGATCCGGAGA